GGGCATGTTGCAAGGAGGGACTGGTCCTTGGAGAGGGACATCATGTTTGGGAGAGTGGAAGGACAGCGCAGGTGAGGAAGACCCTCAATGAGATGGATTGATTCCATGATTGAAGTGGTAGGAATGAGTTTGTTTGAGATGGTGAGATTGGCACAGGATAGAGCAGTGTTCAGGGCTCTTGTACATAGGGTCACTATGAGTTGCAAATGACTCGATGGCACATAACAACAACAACAACAACAAGTTGAATGGGGTGGGGCAGTCATGGGGGGTGGGGTGACCACAAGGTCAACCACTTATAGGACCTCACTCAGACCTCAGCTGTCCAAGTGTGCTCACAAGTGAGGCCCCTATTCAAATTCCAGCTGTCTCCCACGCAACAGCTCTCACTCAGTGGCTCCTGCCCAGCAGCCTTTACCTAGGTGCCCTCACGCAGTGGCCCCTATCCCAGCATGGCCCTGGGGGTTTCAGAAGGACTTGAGAAGACTCAGTCAAATTCCCACCAACCCACTCGGTGCTGGGCAGTCTGCGGTGTCCACGAAAGTTCAGTCAAATTCACACCGACCTGCTCCCTCTTGGGTGCTCGCCCAGGCAATCCATGATGCCCAAGAAAACTCAGATACATTTCCACTGGCCTGCCCATGCTGGGCAGTTGGTGTGGCCCAAGAGAACTCAGCCGGGTAGAGGGATGTATAACAATGAAAGAATTTGTTTTACTTTTCAAAGAGAAGAGTGAACTGGGGGGGCAGGGAGAAAAGTGCAACAATGAATGAATGGGAATCCAAAGTCTTTAAATTTTCATTAAAATTAAGAAAAAGAAGAAGGGGAGGAGAACATCATGTTTGGGAGAGTGGAGGGACAGCGCAGGTGAGGAAGACCCTCAATGAGATGGATCGATTCCATGATTGGAGTGGTAGGAATGAGTTTGTTTGAGATGGCGAGGTTGGCAAATACCCACCACCAGGTTCGCTTTTGGGTGTTCTCCCAGACAATTGGAGGTGCCCAAGAAAATCCAGTTAAATTCCTACCAGCCTGCACAATCGTGGGCGTTTGGTGAGGACACAGGAAAATTCAGTCAAATTCCAACAGACTCACTCAGTCTTAGTGGGACTTAAAAGAACTCAGACAATTTTCAGCTAACCTTTCTCCTTTCAGATAGGGCCCAGAGTAGCTTGGTGGTGGCTTCTGGCTTTGGCTGTGTCTGTGGCGCAGTGGTGCAGCTACATGTTCCTGTAGCTCCAAAACTAATTTTTCCAGAAAAAGTTCTGATTCAAATTCCTACTGTCCATGTCATGCCATGTTGGTTGGTCTCTGTGCAGCATGAAGGTCTCTCTTGTGGCCTGTCTCTATGTAGCTTGCTGCTATTCTGGCTCTTCAATTGCACTCTCCACCACCTCCATCTTGGAGTCCTACCTATTATTCTATATTTCTTTTAATTAGTAGTTATAATTAGTTCTTGATTCTATTAAGCATCTCTCCTGTTCTCCTATACACATTCTTATTTACATTTTTTATTTTATATTGGTTTGCTCACAAAGTTTGTATACATTGTGTTTCACATATACTTCATTTATATTGTGTTTAAGCTTTCTTGGTTTCACTTTCTGGACTGACAACAAAGTATTAGTTTCTATCCAGCCTTCTAGTTTTTACTTGTTGTTGTTCTAGTTAATTAGTGTAAATCAATATTCATAAACTCCTTACATAGCTCTAGGAAATGTTATTCTTTTAAATAGTGCATTTAGTCCATTCTCATCAAATGTGATTATGGACAGGTATTAGTCTAATTGAATCTCCTTTGTAGGTGATGCTCCCTCCCCCCGCTGATTTTAGTATTCTATCTAAATAGAATAGCTGTTTACATGGCTCTAGGGATCTCGCTGCCACTTTACTCTCTTTTGGAAAGCACTATCATCAAGGCCTTCTCCAAATGTATTATTTTATTATTCAAGAACTGGAGTAAAGATACAGAATAGGGTGAATGGACACATAAACACTACTTACTTTTCAAAGAAATGTCTGATGACCAGCAATCCAAAAGCACATGGAATTGTCATGTATAAATGAGAAGGTTTTACAAAAACAAGTCCATCATGATCTTCAAGATCTGACCACTTTATGGTTGGAGGAAGCCAGAATCTTTCCAACCAGAACCATTCTTTAAATGTCTGAAACATTCTAGAAGGACAGGAAAAGAAAGTATTAGATCATGAACTCATAAAATGCTTAACACTTAAAAAAAATGCTTAACACTTAAAATTAGGTTAATACGGAGCCTTATTTACTCAGTATACCTAAAAAATGAAAGGTTTAAAAATAAGGACAGAATATAATATAGAATGGATTTCACAATTCTTAATTACATTAAACAGCAAATACTCTGCCTACCTTGAGGACAATTATGTCTATGGCACAGGAAACAGAAGTTAGCATTCATTGTGAATATATATGAATAATGAGAGTATATATATCTTCCTTTTATATGTTTCTTTATTATAAAAATAATTTCCTTGGGGGAAACAGGACATACATTTAACTTCATATTACATTAAGAATTTCCAAAAAAGCACTGACAAAATTGTGGAAGAGGCACTAGAAAAAATTTCACAAGCATTATGAAGAATGAGAAAATTCACATTTAAAAAGTTCAGTGAATTTCAAACTGACTAGACTTAAAATTAAAACATCAAAACACAACATAGAAAATTTATCCAAAAACAAAAAGTAAGGATAAAATACAAAAATCAGCATGGGACAGAGAGAAGCATCACCTACAAAGGAGAATAAATTAGACTGATACCTGCGTTTTTAGCTGAAACTATGAGATCTCACCAAGAAGACAATGCATAGAAAGGTGAAAGAAAATTTCCCAGATCTTGTGCCCAGGAAAGCTGTCCATCAAATATGAAGGAGAAATTAAATCATTTGCATAAAAACAGGAACTAAAGGAATTGGTGACACCAAGACCAAGTCTACAAGACATTCTAAGGTAAATTGTACATACAGAGACACCAAGGGAAAGTGGATAACCTATAGTAAACCAAAACAACAGAAAAAAGAAGCACAACACAATGGCAGTAATATAACCTGTTCTGTCCATTATCACATTTAATGAGAATGGACTAAACTCACTATTTAAGGGAGCAACAGTAGCAAAATGGATAAAAAACAGAGCCAATCAATAGGTAGCCTACAAGTGACATCTAATTAATGAGAAGAAAGACTAAAAACCAAAGGGTGGGGAAAGATATCAAGAAATGACATCCATAAAAAAGCAGGAGTGGCAATATTTATCTTTGGTAAAATAAACTTTAGGATGAAAGTCAACATGAAAGATAGGAATGGGTTCTATATAATGACTAAAGCTACAATAGACCAAGAAGGTAAACATTTACACACCAAATGATAGACCTGCAAAATATATAAAACTACAGTTAACAGACCTGAAGAAAAAATATAGACAAGGGCATTCCTGTGCTAGGGAGCTGACATCTGCACCGGGGAGCTGATGCCACTGCCAGGAAGCAAAGCACTGGGGAGTACCGTGCCACAGAGCAATGCACTGGGGAGCAATATTGCAACTTGAGTGAGGAACTTCGTGGGGCACCACTGCTATTTGAATGGATTCACTGTTATTTGAATGGATCACGTGGGACACCTTAAGCTCTATCTGAAGAGAGAGAGAAAGTTGGAGCTCGTTCTAGAAGGGAAAACCAAGTGCTCCATCTTGTGTCTCCTCAGATCCAGTCCTTCAACTGCTTTTAATGTGCACCTTGGGCTACCCTAGATGTGGCAGTTGTCTGAGAGGAGGCTGCCTTCACAAGTCTTTTCTCTTCCCTTAGGTCACAAGGCAGAGAGAAAGTCAGGCATGGTAACTATCCTACCCTATTCAGAAGCAGGACTTCAGATCAAGAACCTGCCATCGCCTCAGACATGAAAAACTCTACCACAGCAATGCCATGTAGGAAGCAGACGACTTCTACCTACATGAGCCCAAAGCAAGATGTAACCTCAAAAAGTGACAAAATGGATTTCATGAAGCCAGAAAAACTGATGAAACTTTCAGACACAGAATTTTCAATGGGTGAAAGATAAACTTGAAGAATTACAAGTCACTACAGTAAAAAATCAGGAAGAGTTTTAAAAACCAATCCAAAATAATGCAGATAAAATAAATGATGCATTTGAGGCTCTGGAAAAATAAGAAACCACAATCCAGAATATGAGGTCCAATGTTTCAGATGTTGTCAACATGATGGAGGCACACATGAACAGAGTTGAAGAAATGGAACACAGAATCAGTGAAATAGGAGATAGAATTGTCACCACTGATCTGCTAGAACAAAAAGCAGAATCAAAAAGGAAGGGAAAAGAAGAAAACTTAAGAATAATGTGGAACACCAACAAGAAAAATAATGTGTGCATAATCAGAATCCCAGGACAAGAAGTAGCAACTATAGACACCAAGAAAGTTGTGGCAGAATTATTAAAAGAAAACTTTGAAGGCATAATGAACAATGAGAGGATATGTATTCAAGAAGCTGAGAGAAACCCATATAGAATAGACGACAAAAGAAAAACACCAAGACATACTGTAGCCAAATTTTCCAGAACCAAAGATAAGGAGAGAATTCTGAAAGCAGTGAGGAAGAAACAAAGAGTAACCTACAAGGAAAAGCAAATAAGATTAAGTGCCAATTTCTCAGCCAAAAGCATGTGAGCAAAAACTTAGTGGAATGACATATATTGAACATTCAAAGAACACAACTGTCAACCAAGAATATTGTACCCAGAAAAATTGTCTATTAAATATGAGGAGAGATCACAATATACCCAGAAAAACAGAATCTAAGGGACTTTTTTACAAACAAGCTCAGAACTGCAGGAAACACTCAGAGATGTTCTCCTTACATCTCTGTAAGGTGCCAAAGAAAGCAGGATGGACCAAAATAACTAACAACAGCACCAAAAAGAACTCAACAAAATGATAGTAATAAGGCCTTGCCTCTCAATAATCACACTTAATGTAAATGGTTTAAATGCACCACTGAAGAGAAAAAAAGAAGCAAATTGAATTTTAAAAAACACCCCAAATCCACCAATATGCTGTCTATAAGAGACACACCCAAAAATTAAGATAAAGAAAGACTAAAAAGAAAATGGTAGGGAAAAAAATATCAAGCAAATGACAAGCAGAAATAAGCAGAAGTGGTGATATTAATCTCTGATAAAATAGATTTCAATGCAAAACCATCATAAAGGACAAGGAAGATCATTACATAATGATTAAGAACAAGAAGACATAATAGTCGTAAATATCTATGCACCAAATGAAAGACCTGCAAGATATCTAAAACAAATAACACTTAAAAAGGAAATAGACAACACTACTATGTAGTTGTAGCCTTCAGTACACCACTCTCAAGAAAATATAGAACTGCCAGAAAGAAACTCAATAAAGATGCTGAAGAGTTAAACCACACAATAAACCAACTCAACGTCATAGATATTTATAGACCAATGCACCCAATAAAATCACAGTATACCCTCTCCAATGTGCATGGATCAATTTCCAGAATATATCACATTTTAGGTCACATGGCAAGAATCAATAAACTCAAAGCATAGAAATAAAACAAAGCATTTTCTCAGACCACAATGCCACAAAATTAGATTAATGACAAGAGGATAAAAGAAGAAAAAACAAGCAAACAAACATACATTTGGAAGCTGAACAACACCTTGCTTGAACAAGAGTGGGTACTAGAAGAAATAAAAAATGAAATTAAAAAGTTTCCTGAAACAAATTACAACAAAAACACAACAAAACCTCTGGAAAACAGCCAAAGTGGTCATTAGAGGTCAACTTATAGCAATAAGCAAACATATTAAAATACAGAGGGAAATGGAAATTAGTCTCTCTATTCCAGTATCTCCAACAAATTGAAATAGAACAGAAAGAAAACCTGGTAGCCTCCAAAAACATTGAAATTATAATAATTCGAGCAGAAATAAATGAAATAGAAAAAAACAACAACAATTAAAACCATCAACAAAACCAGGGGTTGGTTCTTTGAAAAGGTCAATAAAGTTGACATACCATTAGCAAAACTAACAAGAGAAAAGACACAAATAATCCTAATAAGAGACGAATTGTGCAATGCCACAACAGACAAACTCAAATAAAAAAAGGTTTACAATGGAATATTATGAAAAACTATGCTCCAACAAATATTAAAACCAAGTGGAAATTGGCAAATACTTAGAACAACCTACCTAAACTGATACAGAAAGAAACTGAACACCTGAACAGACCCATTACAAAACAAGAAATTGAAAAGGCAATAAAACAAATTCCAGCCAAAAAAAGCCCTGGACCAGACTGGTTTACAAATGAATTGTATCAAACATTTAGAGACGAACTGTCACTAATTCTATGTAAACTATTTCAGGAAATGGAAAAAGATGGAATTCTCCCAGACTCATTCTATGAAGCAAATATACCCTTGGTACCAAAGTCAGGTAAAGACACTGCCAAAATAGAAAACTCTAGGCCAAGATCTCTCATGAACAAAGATGCAAAAATCCTGAATATAATCCTGGCCAATAGAACCCCACGATACATAAAAAAAATAATTCATCATGATCAAGTGAGATTCATAACAAGTATGGAAGGATGCTCCAGCATAAGAAAAATAATCACTGCAATTCATCACATTAACAAAGCAATGATCAAGAACCACATAAGCCTACCAAATGATGTAGAAAAGGCCTGTGACAAAATCCAATACCCTTTCCTGATTAAAACACTCAACAAAATAAGATTAGAGGGGAATTTCTCCAACATAGTAAAAAGTACATATGCAAACCTGAGAGCAAACATTGTTCCCAATGGAGTGAGGTTAAAGGCATTCTTCTTGAGAACAGGAATTAGGCAAAGATGCCCACTATCACCTCTCCTATTCCCTATTGTATTAGAAGTCTTAGGGGTAGCAATAAGGCAAAAATAGGAAATGAGAGGTATCCAAATTGGCAAATAGAAGGTAAAATTATCTCTACATACAGATATATATCTATATATGATAGTATAATTAGAAAACCCTAAAGATTGAGCAAAAAAACTACTGGACATATTTGAACAATTCAGTGGCAGGATACAAGATCAACATACAAAAAT